TTTGCTCACAATTTAATGGGTGTTTTGGAGAATTTAACCCTGGCTGCATATTTAGAATGTAATTCTTAAGACCTTTAAAATTTTTTCCTAGGGTCAAGAATCTTTCAAAAAACAGGAAAAAACTCCCAAAACGCCAAAAGGACCTAGTTCTGTAGAAGACATTAAAGCAAAAATGCAAGCAAGTATAGAAAAAGTGCATTGAACAGTCCTGGGCACTACTGGTAAATTAAGCACAAAGATGGGGAAAGAGGAAAAGGAGAAACAAATATAGTCCATACTGAGTACCATCAACAATCCAGACTGAAGACTTCTATTTTAATCTCAATCTGCATGCTAAATACATTCCAACACTTGAGATACACAGTCCCTCAAATGGATCTGAACATGAGCTAGCTGTGCAAATGGACACTAAAGTATGTGTGGCAGAGACCACTACCAACTACCAGTCAGAGGGAAACTCTACTGCTGCTAGCGAAAATCCTGCCATTAATGTAGCACACTTCCAACACTCAAAAGTTGAAATTCTGAACTGGGGGCAGTGGCACATGCCTTTTGTCCCAGCACTTGGGAGGCAGAGGCAGGCAGATCTTTGTGAGTTTAAGGCCAGCCTGGAATACATAGCGAATTCCAGGCCATCTGGGGCTACAGGGAGACCCTGTCTCAAAAAGACAAAAAAAAAGTCTTTCATTTGTATTCCTTTATTTGACTGGTTTGTTTCATTTCATATCTTCTTGGTTTTTATGAGGGGGGGTGGATTGAGGGGGTTGGGGTGTTTTTTTGTTTGTTTGGTTTTTTGAGTTCTTTGAATATTCAGACTTTGTAGTATCAGACTCACATAAGCAAAACACAGTTTTGGCCCAGAGTGGATCCGCCTGTTTCAGGCTGGTGTCAAAGGGCTACTCACAGACTGATTAAGAAGTCAGTGTCTGAGGCCTTGAAATCTGATCCACATTTTGGATTTTGCCAGCAGATCCCTGAGAAGCCTGGAAGCACTACAGAGCCAGAGGGTCAGCCAGCAGTTTTATTTTTAAGCAAGGGGCTTGCAGAAAGTTTGTTGAAGGGAAGAGGAGTTGAAAGGACTGCTGAGCTACTAGGGCTGTCACTATTTAAGAGTTGGGGAAGGGGCCAGAGGGGACAAAAATTTGAGTCCGGGAGTTTGGTAAATCAGGCAACCCTGAGGGAAAAAGGGAACAAAAGTAGTCACAACTGGAGCTGGAGAGAGGATGGCTCAATGGTTAAGAGCACTGCCTGCCTCTTGCAGAGGACCTGGATTCAATTCCCAGCACCCACATGGCGGCTACAAACCGTCCTTAACTCCAGTTCCAAGGGACTCCGAAGCCCTCTTCTGACCCCTGCAGCATTGCACGACGACACAGGTGCACTCACATACATGCAGACAATGCACTCATATACATAAAATAAAAATAATGAACAAATTTTTTTTTAATTTTTTTAATTAAAAAAAAAAAAGGAGTCACATCTCCAGACACTTTCTATTTCCCTTTAAGCCAATGGGAAATCCAGACTTTTGACTCCATGTCCTGGAAAAACAGTTGTTAGTGCTAAAGCACCGCGTCCCCTAACCTACCCCTTGACCCTGAAACAGAGAGCTAAAGCTCTTGGGGAAAAACAAGCAGAGGACTAGGAAAAAGCCAGTTGGGGTAGTAGAGTGTTATACTTGATAGAGAAGGAACAGGGCCTTTGGGAATGGTTATGCCTGAAAGGAGTTGAATCACTTGAGATCTAAGGGAACTTGGATCTGAGTCTGTGGTCCCCAGTGGGGCTCCATGGGCTAAAAAGTTTGAAGGTTTCATTCAGTCCATGCCCTCCTCAGGCAGCCCAACATGCTACTGTGAACTTAAGTTTCAAGAAAAATGCCACACCTGTGTTCAACTATCTACAAGACTGATTGACTTGACTGTGGAGAGCTGGAATGTTATAGGTTGTGAGCCAAAATGATCTTTAAGTCCCCTTAATAGTCCACTTGTATGTGTGATCTGACAGATTTGTAATTATTAGTTAAATCCTTTTGCAGTGTATAAACAGACCTCTAGCTTCTGCCAACCCAAAGACTAAGAATGTCCTCAGACAACATCTGAAGCCTAGGGCAGAGATGTTCCTGTTTTGTGTCATCCGCCTACCTTAGTTTTCCACCAATGTTTTTGAATAGTGTTTTGCTTTATGACTCTCTTTGTTCTGTTACTACGAAAGCTTCATGAAACTGTTATCAGTATGGAACATAGTATTTGGAGTAAATCAAATCTGTGTTCCCAGGTCATAGCTGCTCATATTTGGCTCTCTTGAATAAATGATCTTATTCCCTCTGGAGTGTTTTTGTGTTGATACTATTCAAGGCCCCATGACCCTCTCTGAAGAGCGTGATGCAGTCAGAGTTCAAAGTATATAACTAGCCCTTCATTGTTTTCTCCAGATTTTCAACATTATCAATAATGCAAAACACAAACACATACACACACGTACACACACAAACACACACATGCTTCTTTGCATGCTTGCATCCCTGGAACTCATGATGTAGCCCAGGTTGCCCCTGAGTATGCAACAGTTTTCCTGCCTCAGCCTCCCAACTGCTGGGATTACAGATGTAATCCACCATGCTTGGCTAAAATCTGTACTTTAACTAACAGTATTATATTTTATTTCCTGATTTTGATCATTTAATTGTAGATCATTATATAAATTGTTCATATTCTGGGATGCTGGCATATACAGAGGTGATGAGTATGTGTAGGAACGACTTTTACAACAATATGGACTAAAAACTGTTGCCTAACCTTGCAACCAAAAATTACTGTTTATAATGTAAAGAAGCTCAGTGGGTCCTGCACTCCTCAGTTGATCTGGGACCCCCCTCCTTACTCTGCATCCAAGATAGTGAAGGAATGTGCATATGCATGCTTTACATATCAAAGCACTTAAAGCAGCTTCTCATTTCAAACAATGAGAGAAATCTATGTTTGTGACATTCTAGGCTGAGGGATCAAAGAACAAGATTCTCTGATAAGATACAAATGGGTCCTGACTTCTACTTCCCCATTTCAAACTGGAGATAATGTTTCAATAAAGAATGAGTGAAGTCTTACTGGGGAGCACAGTTTCAAGAGATGTCTGAAGGAATGGGCTGTTTGGGTCTAATCTTGGCCTTCTGGAGGCTGAGTCCTGTTGTTTCTCTATTAAGGTGTAACTGCAATGTGGTTTAGAAATGCCACAGGTATGGTAGCTAACTAGAGGTTGGTGATCACTTCACAATACACATATATACCAAAAAGTAACATGTACACTTCTGTATACAACTTTTGTCACACTTTTATTTATTTATTTTGTGTTTGGGGGTTGCACAAATACCATAATGCATGTGTGGAGAGCAGAGGACAACTTGATTGTATGTAATTTTTTTTTTTTTTTGTCTCTTTTTGAGACAGGGTCTCTCTGTAGCCCCAGCTGACCTGGAACTCGCTATGTAGA